AGGCTTAAAAAAGAAAGACTCCACACAATATTATTATTATTTAACCGTAACCTGTTATACTTTACACCTACTATGTGTTATCATTATCATATTTATACATATAACACCGACTTATTCAGTAGTGATGTACAGAAAACACTGAACCATTCCCATCAGTCTCTGCACCAGAGGAGCTTACTAGGGATGCATGGATACCGATACCGATACCAGTATCGGTGCGGATACCTAGTATTTGGGAGAGTACTCGTACTTGCCCAAATGCTTTGATACCTTCCCCAATACCGGAACTTCAGGTCAGAGGGAGATCTTCGACGGGCAGTGCCGTGAGGGAACATGAAGCCGGCTTCCCGGCCAATCTGGAAGCCAGGCGGCGGGTAGTGACTTGCCGCCCGGCTTCCTGATTGGCCTGGGAGCCGGCTATATGGCAGGTTCAGTCTTGATTGGCCAGAAAGTAATGACCCCGCCTCCTGGGTTCCTGATTGGCCGGGAATCCGGCTCCATGCTGATTGGCTGGGAAGCTGGCTCCACGAAAGGTAGAAATTGGTACCCATACTCGATACTGGAAAAACACGGTATTGGTGCATCCCTAGAGCTTACACTCTAATGTCCCCCCACAGTCACAATGTAGGAAGAGGAATCACCAGCACTCAGTAGAATAATCCAACATGTCCTTTTATTGGACATAGACGTCACACAATCACAAGAGCCAACGTTTCGAGACCCCGCAGGGCCTCTTCATCAGGGCATAAAGAGTGATGAAGAGACCCTGCGTGGTCTCGAAACGTTGGCTCTTGTGATTGTGTGACGTCTATGTCCAATAAAAGGACATGTTGGATTATTCTACCGCGTGCTGGTGATTCCTCTTCCTACATTGTGTCTGCACGGTGCCATCCGTGTTCATCACTACATTATACATTTATATAGCTCTGACATATACCGCAGCGCTGTACAGAGAACACTGAGCCGATCACATCAGTCTCTGTACAGAGGAGCTTACACTCTAATGCCCCCTCCCCCCCCCACAGTCACACACTATTATTATAGATGTATATAGCTCTGACATATACCGCAGCGCTGTACCGAGAACACTGAGCCTGTCACATCAGACTTTGATCCATTGATGTGATCAGAAATCAGTGATGTCAGTGGTGGGAAGTGTACATATTTTGTAGCACACAGTCTGTTATTGATGGAGACTGTCATGTTCCGCTGGTGACACGAGGGCTCAGAATTGACCTTTGTGTGTCACAATCTACAGAGATCAGAGACGTCAGACAATGGCCGCTTTCTTACTTCTCCAATGCCACAGTGGTAGAATGTTTTCTATAATTACAGTGAGACCCCTATGACGTCACACAAAGCTCAGAGTGTTGTCCTGCGGGATAAAGATGATGTCATTGTCATCAATATAATGACATTGAATCACTCACTGATTACATCTCCATTCATGTTATGGAGAGACCCCCCCCCCCACTGCC